TACACATATGAGTGCTACTAAGTACATAGTATCAGTATTACTATAAATAGTATATCCTTTACCTCTGTTCCTAAGGAAGAATGACACTATGTCCAACTGCCTCAGTTAGAGTTCAGTCTCCAGTGTATTGAGAGGGAGGGAACATTGGTCCCAGCGGTTCAAGTGACACACCTCCTCAGCTACTGACGCACTACCATACATTAACACCTAATGATAATAATAATAACAATAATAATAATCATAATAATATTAACTCAATTCATTACTTTTGCTACAAAGTCTTCTTGTGATAAAAGGAAAGCTAACACTGATAGTGAACTATCAGAAACCAGATAAACCGGTTTGTCCTCATTAGTGGGCAAAAACAACCAGTTCCGACACGACAAAACTAAAAAGGACATTATAAGACCACACCCATCAATTAATAATAATAATAATTAATGACTTACTTGGCTAATGAATAGTATCTCTCAGAAACCTTATAAATGACAATTAAATTTGTGGTTTTTGGTTCCTGTTCTTTATTCCTTGTTTTTCCATTCCCATTCTTATCATAATACACTATTACCAATCCGTTATTATAGTGGGGGTACAATAGGGCAGAGTCACTGGTCACATGACCTTCAGCTGGAGGGAGTATACACTGTATGGGGTAACTAGTGCCGGAGTGGGCGTGGCTCCAGGACATGTCCTCCTGTTTTATATTCAGTGGTTTAGTTTTTCTCATACTAGTAATAAAAACATTACTAGACTCTTCCCAGTCTCCGCCCAATCCTTTACCAAGCCACGCCCCTCTACTACGCGTGTATCACTTGTCGTCTGAAACCGGTTTGACTGGTTTGTCATGCTCTTTCGGTAGTTTAGAAACCCTGTCCAGTGAGAGGCCATGCCCCTCATTAAGATTCATCCTATCAATGTTCCTCATTAGTCTATTGCATCGCTTAGCAATGCCAACAAAATTTATGACGTATTTTGCTCCTTTTTCTTGTCTTGTCAGTCCACCGTACCTCTCTCTCTCTGGCTCCTCCTCTTGGCTAATGGGCGGGGCCTGGAGCTGCTGGGTGGGCGGGACTCTCTTAGTCGACTTTTGATGGAAACTTTTAGAATAATGCGAGGAGAACATGGCAAAATAAAACCCTACATTGACGGCAATGATGTGGTGGGTTTTAGTGGAGACACAGAGTTTCATTAAATCAGGAGAGACTGAGATCTTATAAAATGAAGACAGGGACAGGGTTTGTAGGAGAGAGGGACCATCTAAACATGAGAAGAATAGATAGGAGGTATTTTAATCTTAATTTTATCATAAAATTGTAAATA